TTTCAATAAGCCCATTTTTAATTTCAACCTTGGGTTGAGGCCTCAAAATGTCTTAAAATGCCCATCAATGATTATATGACTCCGAAATTTTGTCCATATCAATTTAGAATCCTCACCAATCAGGCGTAATCGCTTTATTTCAAAGCATAAGTACCACCCATACAAACATAACCTCAAACAAGTAAAGAAGTATAAGTTCGGGCGAAGTCGAACTTTATATATCCAGCGCACGTATTAAATATCGTTTTTTCACCTTTCACCTATGATATTATTGAAATAATTGAACCAACCTTGGTTAAAATCGGTAAGACGGTTATCGTTGTACACTTTTGTAGTGATAAGTGGGTGGGTCTACGCCCATTTTACAAAATTCAATAATCTTGTGTCTTGCTACTATATTGTAGTAAGTTGGCGTCTTTAGTTATTGAAACATCGGAGTTTTCGTATTTCTGAAATTTACCGTTACATGGTAAGAGGCAATCATTTTAGTCGGATTTCAAAAATTTTCTACATATTGCTTTTTTGCGCCAAGGTTGGTGATAAATGTGCCGAGTTTGGTAGAAATTGATAGATCGTTTTCCGAGATACACATATGTAGGCGTAAGTGGGCGCTGCCACACCCATTTTCGAAAAATTTCCCTAAGTATCATTTTCCGCTAAGATGCGCTCGGGTATAAAAAGCCGTAAAAAGCGGACCGATGAACATATCATTCCGGAAATTTTCTCATATCGCACACGATCTTCAAAGGTGACACTCTCAAAATTACGCATTTGTCAGAAAATGTGAAAAACTGTTTCTTAGCACACGCTAATCATATGGGCAAAGGAGATTTTTTACCTTAGGTTAGGTTAATATAGGTTATTTCGACTTGGGTCACTTACGATTTTTTAAGTAAGAATATTTTGACTAAACATCCAAAAAATGGGAGTAATCGGTTTATTTGAACACATACCTCTCACGCCAACTTAACTGCAAAAACGTCTTAAGAATACCATAAATCCCATCATTACTTTATGAGGTTCCATTAAAAAAAGTCGCAAATATGAGCCAAACTTTTTTTTCAGAAATCGATAGAAAATATTCTGGAGGAAATATAGTTTTTGTCATCAAAGTGTCAATTTTGTCTGATTATATTTATCATAATTGTCCTAATTTTTTCTATTTTATCCAGTAAGTGCTATATTTTTATTTGAATCTACAAAAAAAAAAAAAAAAAAAAAAATTTAGACATTTTTTTCTGGCTTCGGTGGATTCCCTACCAAATTCGCTAAAAATGTTAAGATTAGATCTAACGAATGGAATGGAACATGCAAGTAACAGTCGCTGACCTTACACAGAGTTCGTAAAGCCATCAAAATGCTGCTTTAATGATGAAATTGAGCTACGCAAACGAGACAGAATGACCTTTTTTGAGAAGTAATATTTTGAGTGGCATGATAAATGTAGAGTTATATTAATTATAAATTTAGTTGAACAGTAGTTTTTTAACTCACAAAAGCGTAAGTCAAAATTGATTTCTCTTGAATTGAGTCGTAGGAAGGATGGAGATGGATGTTTTATAGTTCGTTTCCACCAAGCCTTAACTACATTTTATGCCTATTGAAATGGGATATTATAACTTGAAGGGGGTAATTTCTCAGGTTAAGTACAAGCAAACATAACCCCTTCTACAGATTCTGTTATAAAAGCGGTGGTAAGACAGAAATGTCAGGTGGAGACCGCAAATTTCCACTGTTAAACCATATCTGTCTTTTACCATCGCTGACCTCTTAACTGTAGTTAAGCTTTTGGTGGAAATAGGCTATTATTCCTAAGTGATGGATTTTTGCGAACTCTGTCTTAAAATAACCCACTCAAAAAAGCTAAGGGGAAATTAAAGCTAATTGTAAAGTTCTTTTTCGCGCTATCTATCAGGATTACATGACATCCGTAGCCAAGATATCTAAAAACTAGTGCATCAAAGCTTCAAAATGTTTTTTTTTTTTATAAGTCTAAATACGAAATAAAATCGATGAAAAATTTGGAGTTTTTTTTCTCCCTTACTATTTTTGTGTAGTGTATTATCCGCTTATATTGGCCAAGCCAACATTTGTATTTTTTACTATCGAAACCAGATACATATATTTTCGTGGACCCCTACTTACACCCATATTTTTCACACCAACGTACACCCGGTCGAGTCTCCCGCGGAATCCTAGTGGTCCACCTGGACCACTTTGGGAATCTCCGGGGAAACCATTTAAATATGAAAATTGAATATTCAAAGCAGCTTTGTGCTAATACCATGACGTCCTCTGTTTATGTTTCTAAGGAGTGTATGCAAATCGTTTTGGCTTTGACAACTCAAAGATAGGTTGTAAATTGGTAGTCCACGGCATCATCTTATGCCTGTGAAACGACTGGTCGGTTGATCTACTAGAATGCTCACTTGCTGGTTTGATTTTTCGCTCCACTTGGTTATTACATATATATGTAGAAATGTATGTAAATATGTACATATCTAGATACTTGTATATGCATAAAAATGGACGAAGAGCTTTGTCGTTTTACGGCACTTTAAAATTCAAATATTGCAAATTTGTTTACAATTGAGAGCATTTGATTGCAAATTTTGCTTATTCAACTCAACTTACATTGAATATTTAATTTACATATGTAAATTGTTGCCTGACAGTATTTGGTTTTGGTCATTTTAATAATTCCATTGTTTTTGCTATTCAAAACATATTTGACATGCAAATTTAATAACATATGAATTGCTCGTAAATAAATGATTAGCATGGATTGAAAAAATATGCCTACATGTTCCATGCAATCATTGCAATTTTTGAAGCTATTTAACTAGTATGTATAATACATTTTTATTTATATTTGTATTCGTTAAATAAATATTTGCCTAGTAAGGGGGCGGGCGCAACATCCTTATTCTTTACGCATTTATGCCATCTGTTTTTTTAGTGCTTGGAAAAAGGACCGCACTTAAAGCTGAGCACTAAGAACGGCAGCAGACACTAAATATATACATACATATATACATAGTCGTCACTCCAAAACGAATTTTTTTATTTAAAGATTTTTGTCCAACATTTTCTCCAGCAGTACATAATCGTGACTACCAGTAACACACTTATTTGCTCTGTTTCGGTATTCTGGACGCCATTCCATTGCAGCTGTGTAAGATTCTCGGTTCTGAGTTTATGCAGCATGAATTCGCGACGAATGCAACGTTTCAGCTTCCGATCGTCTATCTTCGAAGCAACCGATAACCACAAAACAAATGCAAGCCATATTTTTCGTATCCAGCAGCTGTGAATGGAATATAATTTATAAGAAAATCGACTCCGTCATCATCGGCGGGCTTATCTTATCCACAGCTTTCAGCGCTGCTACCATTCAGTATGGTGGAAAAGTGTTTCCTCCATAATTTAAGTACGTTCTGGAAATCAGTCACTGAGTCTCTCTCTCACCACAAATCTGACACCGAATTTGCGCTCCTTTAGATGGCAGCTGTAGTAGACGTGGCAAGACATTTCTAGCCTCGCCCCGTCCAACGAATTTCTCAGATATTGGTGAACAGACGCTGCAGACTTCATTGAGCCTTTAACCGAATAAGTCGAAGCTCCCTCTCTTTCTGCCGTAACCCAACGCTCCACTTGGATTGGTTACCGCATCTCGCATATGGGTTGCTCATTGAGTATAGTCGTGCAACTGTAACATACCCAGCACAACGATACATACAGGACATGAAAAAAACAACCACATATACAAGTATAGAGAGTGTCCTAGAGCACCCATATTGAAAACCGCAAAAATTTTACCTACTAGATCGGGGATGCTCTATGTTTTGGTGGTATTACCGACTTCCGTTTTAGACCGGTCGAAACCGGAGTTGGTAATATCACCAAAAGATAGAGCATCCCCGATTTAGTAGGTAAAATTTTTCGTTGTTTACCGCCTGTCACAAAAAAAGCATTTAATTAGGTTAAGCAATTTGTGAGAAGATCATTTAAAAATGAATGTGAGTTGCTTTAAAATAAAACAAATTTAATGGTTATACATTTGAAAAAACTAATGAAATGAAAATATCGTGAAAATTGTTGGAAACAATTCCGTTGAAGAGAAAAAACACTAACAGTGTTAAAAGCTTATTATTTCTAAAAATTTTGTAGCTTCAATGCAATGTTATTAATATACATGAAAAAATAAAAAAATATTTTCTGTATGAATCCAAATTTAACACCAAAATTGCATAACAAATGTCTGACGTAATCAAATGATTAATAACCTCGAATCATAGTTTGAAACCTAATTGGATTTAAATTTGTCTTAAGAGTGCAGCTCCACACTAGGGGTTTCAGATATTCAGCGGAAAACACGAAAAGACCTAAAACACCTGGTCTAGAATTCTACTCTAAATGCAATTGACTTGCAATAAACGTAGCTTGACTTACTTCACAATACCGAACCGACCCTTGCTACAAATACTCATATGTACACATTTACCATAGCATCTGCAATATGCCCTTTTCTATTTCAATTTATAACTAGCACATTTTGCGTCCGATGCAGTTATGAATTAGACAAAGTGACTTAAGCTTCCTGGCACACTTGGCAAGCGGTGACAAGCGTTCCGCTCAATGCTTTTCAAAGGCAATTCTTTTTACTTTAGGGCAATAAAGTTGCCATAATGAGCTCCAATAACTCACTGCAAAATGATGTGTGTGTGTCTGTGTACACTTAACTGCATACCTCTATGTATTTGCCAACAACTGCAAAAATATTACTATCATCAATAGAACCGAACCTCTCGAATGCACAGCAAGTAGTAGTTCTTTATTTCTACATTCCTCCCCCTCCCCTTCCAGTTTTTGCTGTGATTGCGATTCGCATTCATGCCAGATCATTGTGCGCTGTAATCCCAGTTTACTCCCTTTGAATGGTTGCATTGCAGTTTTGCTTTGATTTATCTAAAACTTTATTCCTACTTACTTACTTTTAGGTTTTTTATCGNTTTACGAGTAAAATTTAAATTTATGACTTTTTTATGTTTCCTAATTCTTAGATTCGATATTATTAAAAAGTTAGGTCAAGGCACATACGGTAAAGTGCAATTAGGTATAAATAAGGAAACCGGCCAGGAGGTGGCTATAAAAACCATAAAAAAGTGCAAAATAGAAGCTGAGGCGGATTTGGTGCGCATACGACGTGAGGTGCAAATTATGAGCTCCGTACAGCATCCTAATATTATACACATTTATGAAGGTAAGTTTGAAATTATTTTTATGACGAACTTATTGCTAACATTAATATCCCTTTCATAAAAATGTGTATGAACATTATGTTTTTAAATTTTTTTTTAGCTTAAAACAGTTAGGGAATTCACAAAGTACCGTAGTGAGTTATATTATCAAAATGTGCTGAAATTCGCAACAGTTAAGCAATAGTTAAAAGGTTTTGTGGTGTGCGTAAATCACCACAAGACCACGGAACTTAAAATATGTATGTATGTATGTAAGAACCAACCTGACTCCTTGCTGAAAATAGAGGCATGTGTTGTTGTTGTTGTAGCGGTTACTTAGCCCCGCCAGGATGTGTTCTACTCCAAATGGGTTGGCCCAAAGGGCGAGGGCCGTTAGTTGAGTGGGGTTTAGGGGGCATGTGAAGATGTGTTACGAGTCATGAGGTGACTCCCCGCATGCCGGGCACTTATTCGGCACATCTGTATTTATTCTGCTCAGTTAGGACTTCAGCCTGCTGCAGTATCCAGCGCGAAGTTGAGCTATGGTGGTATGAGCCTCGTCCACGGACTGCATTCACAGGTCGGTAGTCCATGTGAGTCGAGACCGACTCCCTGCGAATGCCGTTTATGGCCTGTCGTTACGCTGTTGGGTCCAGAGGTTGGTTTATGAACTTCTAGTTCGGTTAGATGACTTTTGACATGATCCTGCGTCTTGATAGTCCCCGGCAACCACACGGGCGCTGCATAGTTTCGAACCAGCCGGAAAATTGCTTTGTATGTTGCCAGCAACGTTTCTTTGTCTTTGCCCCAGGTGCTGCCGGCTAGCGGCTTGAGGAACTTGTTGCGCGGCTCTCTACTCTATTGACAATTGCGGTTGTATGCGCCGGGGAGCAAACTATCGCAGTTAACTGTGAAAATTTTTGGGCTGTTCACTGTCGGAATTGGTGCTCCATCAACATAAATTCCCAGATATAGTCTGACCTGACCTCCTTCGTCCAGATGCCTGTGAGAGCTTCGTAATGTAGTATATAATCAGAAGCTAAAGGACACCTACCTGTGGAATCCCTGTTTTCCGGGTTTTCTGGTTATATCTCTAAAAATTACCGACAAATGTCGACCACTCAAATAATTCGCTGACGACCGTTTGAGTTCCTGTGGGAGAAAGGGATCCTCAATGTCTTCTAATCGCGTGAAGTGGCTGACGGTATCAAACGCCTTTGACAGATGCCCTGTCCTCTCACAAGCACGGTTTCGATTTAGACCACGAGTTATCTGGGTATTTATGGCGTTAAGTGCTGTTGTTGGGCTGTGAACTTTACGGAACGTATGCAAAACTCATCTCAGGGGACAATGTTGAGGATAAAAAGCTGTACACTCATTGACCCTCAGGGTTATACCGCTTAGACCTCTGTTTTCTGGACCATAACTTTTCACACAACTTCAAGTTTTTTTCGCTAATAAAACCAGCTGAGACAATGAACGACGAACTCCCTGGAACAGAAAGATAGCCACAGAAAGCACGCGTGGTTACCAAAACTAGTGTGAGATTGCCTTCAGCTTTCATAATTTCTGTGCCGGGACATAGTGTAATCATGGGTAATAAAGTAGCCGATATTCTCGCCAAGACGTGGTCTGGATTCACACATGCAGCACTCTTCATTTGTATGATAAGGAGCTCCGATTAACGAAATTACTATATCTATGTCAATAAGGAATTCTCCATGTCGAAAATATCAATAAGGGGAATCTCCTGATGAGGCGCGACTACTAACACTAAGCGCCTAAATGCATGCTATGCGCTGCTGTATGTGCAAAAATTTGCTTGAGGCGATTTATGAAATATTTTTCATATACACTTCGCATTTGCCATATAATAAAATTTTCTTAAGTTATAATTTGATGGAAACTCAAAATATGCTCGGCCTAGTCTGATGGATCCTCCGGGCAATGCCTCTCGTGTTTTTTAGGGTGGTAAATGATGATTACCAGTGACCACAGTGCCTACCCACAATTTTCTGTTCGATTTTTTTTATACAAATATGTGAAAATAACCTTCACTATACAAGGCACAAAGCAAGAATTGTTACAGATTTTCACACCTGCCACTGCAGGGTAATTTTTTATTACCTGGTCAGTGGAGGTTTTGTCAGTTTGGCAGAGCACATTATATATATATGTCCTATTACTGCAAAGCGATCTCTCGAAGGTCCTTGACGATACGTGGATCCAAGAAGACCCTGTCCTTGATCAAAGTGCACCTAGTCACTTGTTTCCTTATCTAAATAATGGCCTAATATACGTAGGACTCCTCGAGCTTTACACAGGTTATCAGCGGGCTAAACCCCTAGAAAAACTCCTTCAGTTCGCTTCACAAATATATTTTTTTTAAATATAAAATCCAAGTCTAATCCTTGGTCATTTTATAAACAAAGAAATATGTAGGAAATAATTAAACTTTGGTTGGATTTTTTTCGAAGGGTGACAACGTTGATAATCAAAAATAAAGGAAATCTCTATATATCTTCGTTTTGCTCTATTATTATCTCCTTTCGAGCATCCAAACTTCATTATAATTAACATAACATAAGTAAATAATATTATGTTTATAGTTCTCTTGATTTTATTTTTTAGTTTATTTATTTATTTTTCTACAAAAAAAAAAAAAAAAAAAAAACAAATCTGTTATAAAATGACTTCCTTTCAGTATTCGAGAATCGTGAGAAGATGGTGCTAGTCATGGAATTTGCCGCAGGCGGTGAACTGTATGATTATCTCTCGGAACGTAAGGTGCTCAATGAAGAAGAGGCGCGACGCATATTCCGGCAGGTGGCCACTGCTGTCTACTATTGTCACAAGCACAAAATTTGTCATCGTGATCTGAAATTAGAGAATATACTGCTCGATGAGCATGGCAATGCGAAGGTTAGTTATCCGTGCATTTCACAACTTTCATCTTTAAATAATTTGCTTCGGAAAATCGCTCTTTATCAATGCATAATTTTTAGATTGCCGACTTTGGCCTTTCGAATGTCTTTGACGAACAAAATTTACTCTCCACATTTTGCGGTTCACCGCTTTATGCCTCACCCGAAATTGTTGAAGGTACCCCCTACCAAGGTCCAGAGGTCGACTGCTGGTCCCTTGGTGTACTCCTCTACACTCTAGTCTATGGGTCAATGCCATTTGATGGTTCCAATTTTAAAAGACTTGTTAAGCAAATCAGTCAAGGAGATTACTATGAGCCAAAGAAACCATCGCGTGCCTCATCGCTCATACGTGACATGCTGACGGTGAGTCCACGCAAACGTGCTACCATCGAACAGATTTGCGCCCATTGGTGGGTCAATGAAAATGATAATGTCTCATGTTTGGATTTGGCTGAGGAGTTGGCAACACAGACACCGGTACGTTTGGATGTTTTGTTGTCACTAACACCGGCCGCTATAACGGCCGATCAATTGGTTGTGCCATCCGCTGATGCGGGCAAGGGAGAACGTGTACCAAGAAGTCATTCGGTGGGTTCGATACGTGATATGGGCGGCAATACCGAAGCGGAACGCAGAATATTGGACATGGTTGCTGGTAGGTGATTGATATTTTGTGTTAAGTGTTATTTTGATATCGTTTCTGTTTTCCGATTTTTTAAATTTGTTTATAGTAAGTAGTATTTGTATGTATAGTATTTGCAATATCCCGTTGTCTGTAAATAGCTGATAACTGTACTTCCAACCCCTCATTCGCTCTCTTCTTATTAATCACAACCACTTGCACCTTTCCTACAACTGAAACTTATATAAAACTATTAACACTTCTNATAGCTGATAACTGTACTTCCAACCCCTCATTCGCTCTCTTCTTATTAATAACAACCACTTGCACCTTTCCTACAACTGAAACTTATATAAAACTATTAACACTTCCTCAATCTACGAAAATTTTCCACAAATAACCCTACTCTTACAAACATTCAAGCGTACTAAATTTGTGCTTCCATCATTTAACCCATAATTCATTACACCTCCTCTTCTCTCTTTTCTCCACATTTTTTTCCTCATCAGCTGGCGGTGAAGCAGCGCTCATGCCATCACCAACGCGCACAATCACACCAACACATAGTCCAGTGCAGAGTAAACGCAAGCTCGAAACCACCGTCTCCACAGAAAATGCGCATGGAGCCGCCCTGAAGAAGAAGGACAAACCAGGCAGCAGCTCAATGATACTCGGCGAGACTACAGTGCCATTAACAGAGGAAACGCCCATGGAGATGGAGGAAGATGAGGCCACTCAGAACGCAATTGTCGAGGAGCCCGTTACACCGGCACCACTCAAATCAATGCCATCGACCAGTTTCTCGCAAAGGGATATGGAAATGGTTGGTGATCTGTGCGAGCAGCTGATCAAAGAAGAACCCAAACCCACGTCGTCTGCACTGATTGAATCCAGCTCTTCTGTGACACCCACATATGCCGGCGTACCGCGTCAAAAAACCCTCGGTAAGTTGGAATCACTGGAAGAGGCGCCTGAGGAAAAGGACGCTACAAAGGTGATTAAGAAGTTTGTAAACAAGCACAAAACAGCCGATCTGGTAAATGCTATCGGCCAAATTACACCCTCAGCTGAGAAATCTAGCGAACAGGCTACGGTTGCATCAACAAAATCCAATAATGCCAAAACAGCGATCGCCAAACCGGCAACTAATACCAACAACGTGACACCCGCGCCATTCGTACGCAAATGTAGTCTTCAGGATGAGGGTTCGTTGAGCAAATTCAATGCCGACCGCCGCAAATCGCGCGTACTCGAAACCACCGAAAAGTTGCAGCAAATGAACACCAGCGGTGGCGCTGAAAAGCCGAAGAAGTTCAGTATACCAGGTGTTAGTGTTGGCAGCTTCAAGAAGGAATTCGAACGCAAAGCAACCAACCCACCCGCACCACAAGGACCTACGCCAGGCGAATTGCGCGCAATGGAAGAGGTCGCAGCCGCAACGGCTGCAGCACAGGAGCTAGAAGCTGGCGAGCAGACACCGCCGATCACACCCGCCGATGATGCCAATGCAGCACAGCCCCAACAGACGTCGCCACCAGCGCCGACAGCGTCGTCGATCGAGGCGAGCGATTCAAAGAATTCAGTTGCTTCGTTGTCGCTAGAAGATGCGCGCCGCTCAATGGAGAACTCAATAGCGCTGCTGCGGCAAGCGCAAAGTGAATCGTCGAAAGAGGTGGATCAACTATGTGCGCAAACCGAAAATATTGAGGTTAGCGAAACCAGTAATCCCGTGGTGGCGGCCGAACGCGAAAGGAAGCTGAAAAATGCGCGCGCCATAATCGGAAATGCCATACAACCAGGTAAGTGTGCGATGAAAAGTGTCATAACAAAAGTAATAACGCTAACAATAACAAAAAGTGGTAACATACCGGGGCATATAGTATTTATTTGCAAATAGTAAACTACTTTTAAAGCTTGCGTTGGTGTGCTTGGAATAACGTTAAGGGAGTTCTAACAAAAATTTGCCAAAAAAGTAATTAACACACTTTCCGAGCTTAACTAGTTAAGGGAGTGAAAAAAAGGATTGCTAAAAATAATCAATTTGAATGCTATCGCGTTCTAATATTTCAAAAATGTCTTCCAAAACAGTATTTGTTCGGAGTCCTTCCGTTGTACTGCCAATTTATGTATATGGCTATGGTGGTCTGCTCGTTGTGATGTTCACATCCTTCACTGTAGGAATGCCATAGGTCTTGTCCTGAAGTTTCCGCAGTGATTGGATACTTACATATGCACATACATATGTAGGTATAGACAGCTTCAAGCGTATATTGAAAAAGCTTTTGAGATACTACAAATGGGGGA